ATCCAAAATAAATATGCCAAACAATGGCAATTACATTCAAAAACTAATATTATCTTGCAATAGAATAAATAAAACATTATCCTTAACATTGTCTCATAATTAACCTCCAAGTCTAGAACATAAAAGAAATAACTCTAAACATCCATCTCGGGATCCACGTTTCCATCAATCTAAGCTTCCCAATTTAACTGCTCATCCAATCCGAGCTCTTCCACCAGACCATAATCTAGAAAAGATGTTGTTTGTAGGGGTGAGCACTAAAATCTATAGGAAAATCCTTTCAAACTTGAACAGGGTTTTGAAAACATGTAAAATAGGTTGGTCTCATTTTACCAAAAGATATATATATATATATATATATATATATATATATATATATATATATATATATAATTTGAAAGAGGTTTTCTATAATTCAACTAATATTTAGATTATCTTGAATTTGAATTACTTTTTTATCTTATTGTATAAAATGGTGTCAATAAAAGGTACTCTTAAAATTAAAGATTAATCTCTAAATTAAAATTAGAGATTAATGTGATGCGAACTCAAACTATCATCCACTTTTATTGCATAAAAACACAATTTATTATTATATTTGTGATGCTTATCATAATGAAGAACGTTTGAGTCTACATTATGTTATAACTTTTTTATGGCTTTACGGGTGCAATTTGAGAATTAAGATCTTTTAAGGTATAAATTAAAAATTCAAGTATCTGTACATAATGTGATTATCCGTATAATTTAATATTAGAAATGCATTTGACAAACAGTTTGACATTAGAAAACTAAGTTCAAACCACCTTATTCTATCTTGTCAAAAAGGGAAATTAGGCCTTCATAAAACAAACTTTATTTTAGAAAGTAAAGTTAAAATTATGATAAAAACTAACAATTAACTGGATTTGGTAAAATGAGATCAAATTATTGGACCACGTATGGGATGGGCTATGCTATAGTCCAAGTCCACCCAAAGCAAAGCAAAATAACCCAAAACGTTGGGTCATTGTTTTGAGTCGATTTATGGAGCTCATATGGACATCGGGTTGTAGTCCAATTGCCCACAAATCCCAAGTAGAAGAACATACATACCTGTCTTGATTCTTGAACCTGTCTTTTCCCGCTCGGACATTTACACAAACACTTGGCGGACATAAGTAGCCATCGAGAGCGGACCAAGAACAACGCGAGAGACATGAAATGCGCGAGATGAAGAACGTGATGGTAATTGATTAGGGGCAAGAACACGAGGATCCCAATGCTTAACATTTTTTATTTGTCTATTTGTTTAACTGATCATTTTTTTCGGGAATTGCTTCCTCAATTATTTTCCTTTTATCTTTTTCTGTCTTTTTGTCTGGCATTGTGTTGTCTTTTCATTTTATATGCTGATCATGGACGTATTAAAAGAGCCGTATCACAAATCTATTTTTGGGATTTATGTATAGGCCATGAGAAGCGATGATGGTGATGATATTTTCTTTGTCATGCTGTAGTACGGCATAACTGCAGCTTAATATACTTTCTCCAGCCATTTTTTCTCTATCTTTTCTCATATAAGTGTGGGAAGGGGATGGAAACTGTCTTTCTCAGTCAGTACGAGAACTGAAGCGCCTCCGCACCTAGCAAACACAAGCCAACACATCGCAGGGATCATGTAATGTGTTACAAAATCATTCGTTGTTAAAGGTGTCGTGGCAGAGGTGGTGCCGTGGTGGAGGGGGGTTGTGATTGTGTTAGTTTTGTTTCTCCTGGCAATGATATTAATTAGCTCCTTGTGATTAGCAAATTGAACTTGCACACCAGAAGATTTTTAATTGACTTCTTAAAGCCCATACCAACATATAACATATGTATTTTCTCCTAACATTTACATTATTGCACTGGCAGCAACGGCCAACTGCAAGCATATCTTATAGTAAGCATAAGAATGGGAGTCTACAATCAAATATTCAATGGCTTGGTGCTTCTAGATCATTCTTGCAAGGTACTTCAGGTAGCGAGAGGACCTCCTTCAGTAAGTCTATGGATTAATGGGATTGTGTTTTGGTTGTATGTGGCTGACCCTCTTGCATATGTTCAGACATGGTAGCGTGAGGTTACTTCTGTCCTTGGATTTAATTCTTATATCATATCTCATGTCTGTGCTATCACACACAAAATTTTAGTATTCTGTTTTCATTTTTGTATCTTAATCTGAAAACCACTGCATCTTAATATTTCTCAAGTGATATACAACTTGTTTTCCAGGGATATATACATTAATGTGTGCATCAAGGATTTGCCAATTTATCAAACCATCTCATTTGGCATTATTTCCTTTTTATGTTAAGTGTTCTCAGGGCCTTCTTTTTTTTTGGATTAATCTCAAATTGTTATCTGAGATTGTTCGAATTTTGATTTATACCTTTAAAGATTAAAAAACTTCAATTTCTACTTTCAAAGATAAAATTTTGTATCAATGTGCACCTCAAGCTTGCCGTCTAATACTAAATGGATAAATTATACTTTGACCTCCTAATACTTGTCATTTAATTACTTAGACCCCTCACATTTGAAATATTACACTTATGTCCCTTGATAATCCCTTGATAATCCAAGGAAGAGCATTTGAATCAATTTGCAACTCTATTAAGCATCACATTGTAGTGAGCTCTTAAAACTTGGTTATGAACTCCTCCTACTCGAGATCTATCTCTTCATCCTCACACGGGTTTGATTCTCCTTGGGAGAAAACCNGGGCTATGCTATAGTCCAAGTCCACCCAAAGCAAAGCAAAATAACCCAAAACGTTGGGTCATTGTTTTGAGTCGATTTATGGAGCTCATATGGACATCGGGTTGTAGTCCAATTGCCCACAAATCCCAAGTAGAAGAACATACATACCTGTCTTGATTCTTGAACCTGTCTTTTCCCGCTCGGACATTTACACAAACACTTGGCGGACATAAGTAGCCATCGAGAGCGGACCAAGAACAACGCGAGAGACATGAAATGCGCGAGATGAAGAACGTGATGGTAATTGATTAGGGGCAAGAACACGAGGATCCCAATGCTTAACATTTTTTATTTGTCTATTTGTTTAACTGATCATTTTTTTCGGGAATTGCTTCCTCAATTATTTTCCTTTTATCTTTTTCTGTCTTTTTGTCTGGCATTGTGTTGTCTTTTCATTTTATATGCTGATCATGGACGTATTAAAAGAGCCGTATCACAAATCTATTTTTGGGATTTATGTATAGGCCATGAGAAGCGATGATGGTGATGATATTTTCTTTGTCATGCTGTAGTACGGCATAACTGCAGCTTAATATACTTTCTCCAGCCATTTTTTCTCTATCTTTTCTCATATAAGTGTGGGAAGGGGATGGAAACTGTCTTTCTCAGTCAGTACGAGAACTGAAGCGCCTCCGCACCTAGCAAACACAAGCCAACACATCGCAGGGATCATGTAATGTGTTACAAAATCATTCGTTGTTAAAGGTGTCGTGGCAGAGGTGGTGCCGTGGTGGAGGGGGGTTGTGATTGTGTTAGTTTTGTTTCTCCTGGCAATGATATTAATTAGCTCCTTGTGATTAGCAAATTGAACTTGCACACCAGAAGATTTTTAATTGACTTCTTAAAGCCCATACCAACATATAACATATGTATTTTCTCCTAACATTTACATTATTGCACTGGCAGCAACGGCCAACTGCAAGCATATCTTATAGTAAGCATAAGAATGGGAGTCTACAATCAAATATTCAATGGCTTGGTGCTTCTAGATCATTCTTGCAAGGTACTTCAGGTAGCGAGAGGACCTCCTTCAGTAAGTCTATGGATTAATGGGATTGTGTTTTGGTTGTATGTGGCTGACCCTCTTGCATATGTTCAGACATGGTAGCGTGAGGTTACTTCTGTCCTTGGATTTANGTACTTCAGGTAGCGAGAGGACCTCCTTCAGTAAGTCTATGGATTAATGGGATTGTGGTTTTGGTTGTATGTGGCTGACCCTCTTGCATATGTTCAGACATGGTAGCGTGAGGTTACTTCTGTCCTTGGATTTGATTCTTATATCATATCTCATGTCTGTGCTATCACACACAAAATTTTAGTATTCTGTTTTCATTTTTGTATCTTAATCTGAAAACCACTGCATCTTAATATTTCTCAAGTGATATACAACTTGTTTTCCAGGGATATATACATTAATGTGTGCATCAAGGATTTGCCAATTTATCAAACCATCTCATTTGGCATTATTTCCTTTTTATGTTAAGTGTTCTCAGGGCCTTTTTTTTTTGGATTAATCTCAAATTGTTATCCGAGATTGTTCGAATTTTGATTTATACCTTTAAAGATTAAAAAACTTCAATTTTTACTTTCAAAGATAAAATTTTGTATCAATGTGCACCTCAAGCTTGCCGTCTAAAATTAAATAGATAAATTATATTTTGATCTCCTAATACTTGTCACTTAATTACTTAGACCCCTCACATTTGAAATATTACACTTATGTCCCTTGATAATCCAAATATAACTAAAAATATTCTCTCAATTGGGCATTCAAATAATTTTGTTTAATTGATGTATTGAATTGAATATAAAGGATATCATAAAAATACTTACATTATACTAGACATTTAAATGATAAACTTGATTTTGAACTTTAAATTATAACGGGCTACAAAAGCATTTGAATCAATTTGCAACTCTATTAAGCATCACATTGTAGTGAGCTCTTAAAACTTGGTTATGAACTCCTCCTACTCGAGATCTATCTCTTCATCCTCACACGGGTTTGATTCTCCTTGGGAGAAAACCACAACAGCTCCAGAATTTCCACGCTGTTTGACACACAAGGTTGTTCTCACACAAACACACAAAATATTTGTATCCTGTTAGTATTAGTTTAGTGTCCTTATCAGAAAATTAGTGTAGGAATATGGACACTAATGTGTGCACCAACCACTATTTAAAAGATCCGCCTCCATTTCCAATTTTATCACACCATCCCACTTCGTATTATTTCATTACTGTGTTTTTTTATTCCCTGGTTAAAAATTCACTTGAGGATCATGTATGAAAGAAACTCAAGTTCTTATTCTGAAATTGTAACCACTCAGTGGAAGCCTCCGGTATTTACAAAATGCCGCAATGCCTCTTTTACAAAGAAGTATATTTATGAAACAAAAAAGGGACCCCAAAATAGAAGAAAATTAAGGAAGAGAACCGATTCCTGAAAGCCTTTTGGATCAACTTGCACCTCATCTATTGAGCATCTCAATTGTACTGAAGATATGATTTCTGTCTCTGCAGCTTCATTTGGTGGTAGAACTTGGCTATGAACTCCTCGGCCTTGAGATCAATCCCTTCATCCTCGCAAGGAATCACCTCATGACAAGCCTCACATTGGTAGTCATCTTCATCATCTACCCCTTTTAGAAAGCTCTTCCTTGCCAAATCACCATAAGAAATTCTATCCTCATTATCGTCACTGTACTCAAAATCATAGTCAAAATCAACTTGGGGGTTTATGCATGGAATGTGAGGCAACTTGAATCTCAGTGACGTGGGACGATGCATCTTGACGTGGATAACAGGAGTGTCATCGAAGGAGAGCTCGCGCTCTCCGTAATGTAGAGCACCACGTTGAGTACTGTGGCGGAGGTTTTTGAGGTGCTTGGTGAGGTCCATCATGAGTCTTCTCTTTAACACACCACCTTTTTTTGCCCATAACAAGGCTAGACGTAGGATGTTCCATGCTCTGCGAGCAACGTCTGATTTCTTCTCTTGCATCTTTGATTCTGTCAGGAAAGGTGATGAAAAATGATCTGATGAGTAACTGTTTGGGTTTTGAAAGGTTATTTTTCAATTCAAAATGTTCAGATACTGATGAGATTGAAGGGATAAAGGAAGACACAGACTATATATGCATTCAGGAAAGGTGGTACGCGGTATATGCTAAGAACAGGAGAGCGGGATGCGGCCATGTGGGCAGGTGGGTGTGTGGAAAAGCAAACTGCGTGTGGTCTGTTGGCGGTGGAACCTCGTTGTAGACACGGCTGTAACGCGGAGGAATCAAAATCTATTGAAGCTGATTTGTTTCCGGAAGTACCCCTGCCCCATGAGTACCGTTAGAAATTCATTACAAAACCATACAAAATAAAAGAATCTAAAATACATACATGTAACAGCCAACAAATACGAATATTGTAGTGAGAAAAATGAAGTGAGCGATAGCCTAATAGATCTGCAGCTTTTTGTTGGAACGCTAGGTCGCGGGTTTGAATTTTAATAATTTTTTTTCTGTAAATTTTGTAATAATGACCCAAAAAAAGACGAGAACAACGAATAGGGGTGTCAAACGTTTCAGATTAAGTCATTTCGTGTTGTGTTGATTTCAAGTTTGTGTTGAAAATCTCAAAAATTCAAACTTGACATGTTTAATAATCGTGTTAAGATGTGTAAATACTAACATAACCTAACTATTAAACGGATTATCTAAACCCGACTCGTTTGACACGTTTAATAAGCAGATCGTTTTTGGATTAACACACATAACACAATTTGTTTAATTTGTTTAGCACAAATAACACAGANTAAGATGTGTAAATACTAACATAACCTAACTATTAAACGGATTATCTAAACCCGACTTGTTTGACACGTTTAATAAGCAGATCGTTTTTGGATTAACACACATAACACAATTTGTTTAATTTGTTTAGCACAAATAACACAGGCATATTTAACACACATAACATATTTCTACACCAGCTCATTATTTATTAAATACATCATTCAATCATTCATCCAAAGTTCAAATAATTTTTTTACAAACAACATATCACATTTCATCAATGCAATTAACTAAAATGCATTCAAGTTTTAACCCAATAGCAAAAACTATACTATACTGCAAACTATACTATTATAAATGAGTCTACAATGGGTTAAGTCGGATTCGTGTCCGAATTATGTCAAATCGTTTAAAATATATAGACAAATCAAGTCAAACTTGAGTTGACCTGATTTAAATATGGACCCGACATAATTTTTTTTTTTCTGTTTAAGCGTATTGTTGACCCGTTTTAACCCATTAATTCGTTTAATTTTTTGTTCGACCCATTAATTTTGTGTTCAATTCATATTATGTTAACGTATCGTATCGAAAATTGACAGTCCTACCAACGAGTTATAGCCAGTTTTGATCTATTTTTAGAGGGCATAAGTCATATTTTCTTTATGAGGGCTGTCAATATATAAAAAGATTGCAGAAATATGTTTTTGTGCAATGTCAAGCAAGAATAAGTTAAAAACGATTAGATTTCAAAATTTTTATTTTTCTCTTTTGAAATCTAACTTTTTTTTTTGTTAGAATGGGTTTGTCGAAAGAGGATTAGAATAATTTAGTCCATTAGCAATACTCAGTAAAATCAATAAGAATAGATTAGTGGGTGTAAAAGAGATTTTCATTTTTTTCTGTTACATGTTCTTTAAGTTCACTGAGGATTACGCGCGACCCTGAACAATTTATGTATATTGGATGGTAGATACAGAGTAGTAGAGTATGAGAAGGTCATTTCCGTCCTCCTGAATTAATTCAAATGTTCAATGATTGAAGTGCAGGGCCCGCACCTCCAACTAAACAGGTTTGGTTGTCTTCTTGTGGGAACGTTGCTTTCATGATTTTCTATCTTCTCAAAGAAGTCAGACCAAAAATAAAAAAAAACAAATATCTGCTCTAAGAAGGAAATCTCACAAAAATAAATAAATAAATAAATAAAAAGAGAAAGACTTTGTACAGTTGACCTAGTAAACGTCCTTTTAAATTTTTTTCCTTATGTTATTTCTTTTACGTACGTGTTTAAGGGATCACTGAAAGAGAATCCTAAGGTGGGNTAAATAAAAAGAGAAAGACTTTGAACAGTTGACCTAGTAAACGTCCTTTTTTTTTTTTCCTTATGTTATTTCTTTTACGTACGTGTTTAAGCGAACACTGAAAGAGAATCCTAAGGTGAGGGGCATGTGATTGCCAAAATTTTCAACCAGCCGTGTTTGTTGGAACTTGGAATATCATTTGTTTTAGGGTTTTTCTTATTTTTTACGAGATAGATTTTAAGATTTTTATTTTATATTTTTGCAAATTTATCATGTGTTTGAATGTGACCCTTTTGTTAACTTATGTTATTTTTTTTTGTCAAAAGTCAACCGATTAACATTGACAAAAAAATTAATGAAAAATTAACATAATAGTCACGTTGNTTTTAGGGTTTTTCTTATTTTTTACGAGATAGATTTTAAGATTTTTATTTTATATTTTTGCAAATTTATCATGTGTTTGAATGTGACCCTTTTGTTAATTTATGTTATTTTTTATGTTAAAAGTCAACCGATTAACATTGACAAAAAAATTAATGAAAAATTAACAGAATAGTCACGTTACAATATTTTTGATACATTGAAGATACAATATAAAAAATTTAATTTTTAAAGGTATAAAATACAAATTTTAAAATCTTTCAGAGTGCAAAGTGTAATTCGTCATTTGTTTTATATCTGTCTTTTTTATTCTACCAACCATTTGATTATATATTATTGGCAACAATAAAGTATTTTTTGTAGCAATTAATATTATTAAGACTTAAAAGGTTACAGCCTTTGCTCTAGTATATATATATTTTAATAAGACTGAGCAAATTGACAACCTGAGCTTGAGGCCAATGAAAGCACCGCAGAAAATGTGGTGCATGAACTAACTACTTTGAATACCCAGTTCCCGGAAGAAAAAAAATAAATTTATATAATAAACTAACTCACAACTCAAATCTCAAAAATAAACAAAATAATTTTTACTATTCGCAGTTGAGATCGCTTTAAATTTTACGTTAAAATTAATCTAACGGCTATTATTAACACTCTAAATTTAATAGAAAAATAAGGGTCTTAAGGATGAATTTGGAGTGACTTTTTAAAAATATTTTTTAAAAATTACATCTCATAAATACTTTAAAAAAAATAGTATTTGAAATTGTCCCACCACCACCACCGCCAACACTACTACCACCACCACCACTGTCACTATCGCCACCGTCAACACTATCGCCATTGCCACCATCACTACCACTATCGTCACCGCCACCACCATCACCACTGTCGCCCACCACAACTATCACCGTCTCTTACCATCACTATTGCCGCCCACCACCTCTCACTTTTACTACAAAAAAATATTTAAATTTTTTTATCTCTTCTATATATTTGTGATTTGATTTTAAATATAAATATAAATATATTTTTTATTTTTTATTAGTACGGGACTTCAAGCAAATAGGCTAGTAAATAAATAAAACCTAAATTGAATACCACTCGGAGACAATACCCACTTTAACCTGAAAACAATGAATCAAGATTCCAATCCACCACCTCCTATCACTCCTCTTGCTAGGCCAACTATCAGCCACTGTATGCTGACGGTTAAACTGCTCCGCCATGCATTGTTTTTACCACTTCTTATTCACTAGATACTTCCAGTTCAAATATCAAGCACTTCCCCTCCGATAGACTTGTTGTACAGGTAACTCCATAGATAAAATTAACCAATAAATAAAATTCAACCTTATTACTGTCTTAATTTTATGGTCAAAATTTGAATTCAATTGAGAATAATTATAAATTCAGATATTTTAAATTTANTATCAAGCACTTCCCCTCCGATAGACTTGTTGTACAGGTAACTCCATAGATAAAATTAACCAATAAATAAAATTCAACCTTATTACTGTCTTAATTTTATGGTCAAAATGAATGTCAATTGAGAATAATTATAAATTCAGACATTTTAAATTTGAATTTTAATAATTTTTTGAGTCAAGACTATGAGAGATTTTTTTTCTCATAAATATTTTAATTCTAATGTGGATGAATAATTTGACTTTGACCAAAATAAAAAAAAATTAGTCGAAATATACGTAAATTAATCCAGATAAANTTATGGTCAAAATGAATGTCAATTGAGAATAATTATAAATTCAGATATTTTAAATTTAAATTTTAATAATTTTTTGAGTCAAGACTATGAGAGATTTTTTTTCTCATAAATATTTTAATTCTAATGTGGATGAATAATTTGACTTTGACCAAAATGAAAAAAAAATTAATCGAAATACACGTAAATTAATCCAGATAAGTGACATTGGGGTATGATGATAATTTATCGTCACTATGTATGAATGATTTGAAATGCAACTTATATATTGTGGGCCACTTGATATATTGGTTCTGGCCGCTCCCACGTGACAGCTTGTTCTAGTTCTTGCCAGAAGTGTTACAGTTACAAGGAAGAAAATTAAAACAATCATAGATACTTCCAGCTCTGTTCCAGAAGTTTAATGTCAAAGTGCAAATTTGGTGAGGGGAAATGAAACATGGACAAATGATTGAAGCACCCAATTTTAAATTAGATAATCTGAGTCTCGTCGATAATGCTATANTGGACAAATGATTGAAGCACCCAATTTTAAATTAGATAATCTGAGTCTCGTCGATAAAGCTATATGCATGCTTACATTCATGTTTTTTCCAAGTTAGATTATGCAAAAAAAAAAAAAAAACGATTTGTGATTGTATTATAACGAATGGCTTAGGTATTTGATGGAACAGAGTGAACCAACCAAGATTACCAAACCGATTCGAGCATTTTTTTTTTCAATGGGTATAGCTATGCATCAATACTATGAGCATAGGAGAAACCAACACAACCAATGTTACAAACATCATATTTGCAACTGATGTTTCTTTGAATTTCTACTAATTGGGTAATTCTACACCTTTACGAAAATTAGCGCATTGCACGTGAATAATTTTTGTACACAAAATTAATAAAATATATTAAGTATATGTGTATTTAAATTAAATATCATCTTAAGTTTACTAATTTTTTTTTTCACTGCTTATACTCCATTATAGAATTATGAAAACTATGTACATTCTNTAATTGGGTAATTCTACACCTTTACGAAAATTAGCGCATTGCACGTGAATAATTTTTATACACAAAATTAATAAAATATATTAAGTCTACGTGTATTTAAATTAAATATCATCTTAAGTTTAATAAATTTTTTTTTTCACTGCTTATACTCCATTATAGAATTATGAAAACTATGTACATTCGCAAGGTTTGTTGTTCCACCTATAAGAAAAAAGAATTAAAAAAAAATGATTATATTTATATATATTTTTTGAAATATATATGCTCTTAATTTTTATCTTACAAAATGACAAGGCTAAACTTTATGATGAAAAAAGAAAATGCAAATGTAGGCAAAATAGTATCTTTACATATGACAAGAGTAATCTTAGATTGATCGAGTTATTGAAAATTATATTGATACACCTATTATTTAAAATTAATATAATCAATCAAAAAGTTTCATAAATATTGATATTTATACATAGAAAATAAATAATTAAAAAAAATTTTAAATATAATTTGAAGATTTAAATATATAAGAATATGATTATAATTTAGATATTTAACTATGANTGATACACCTATTATTTAAAATTAATATAATCAATCAAAAAGTTTCATAAATATTGATATTTATACATAGAAAATAAATAATTAAAAAAGATTTTAAATGTAGTTTGAAGATTTAAATATATAAGAATATGATTATAATTTAGATATTTAACTATGGAAGGATAGTGTGACTTTTACAATTCTTTAAAAAGGTAAAATAGTGAATTAAAAAATTTTCAAGTTAAAATACTTTTAATAGTAGTATAAATGAATATATATTATGTTGTACCAAGTACTCTTGGCATTGATGAATGCATATTTGAGTGGTGGTTGGCAGTAGAAGTGTCAATTTTATTCATTAATATGAATTCGACATGATCCTGCCTCGACACAAGACTCAAAAATAATACGTGATTAATTGATATGACTAATAAATTGGTCAAAATAAGGTTAGATACAATTAACACAATCAATAATAGATTCTGTAAATAGAAAATAGGTATTTAACGAGTACTGTAAACAAAAAATATATATTTTATAATTTTTTAAATAATATTATATGAATTATTGTAAAATTAAATAAGTTTTTATTGACAAGAAAATAACACATATAAAAAATGACACAACACCAAAATAATATAACATAAAAATGATATAACACGATATAATTGATATTTTGACACCCCTAATTAGCGGGGACATAGCCAACATCTTTCTCTAATAGCCAACATCTTTCTCTAATGACGATCAAATGATGATGATGTAACTAAACTTTTGTCTTCAATGAGAAATCACACATTAAACTATTAGTAATATTAAAATTTTAATTTCGTAAAATTTATTAACATGGCTCCGCCTACGGTGGTTGGCATTTAAACTCGCTCCTAATTGAATCGGTACAATGAATTTTATTAATAAATTAAATTCAAGTAATATTAGTCGAAACAAATCTGTCATATTTGGAGTTTCATAAATGGCGAGAAATTTGCGACATCAAACTCATATGATAGTCGTCCATTATTTTTTTTTCACGTCAGCCACCACCTAAACCGAGTCCTCCGCCTGAAAAGTCGGTCTTCCCTCTCGCGTCCAACAACCGCCAATTTTCTATCTTCTTACCACTCTGATATCCCATTCACAACAATTATGTCGATTGCCCTTTTTAGCCCTGTCTTTTGTGACTCTTTTTATAGTTCACTTCACAGACATGCATGCTTACTTAGAATTAATAAATATTATTTGTACGTAATATGGGATCTAATGTATTATCATTGAATTAATAGGAACTAGCACGGGTATACCGGTCATCTAAAAAATAGAGTTGTAAAGCTAGAGATCTTTGTGGGAACTTTGATAATTCAGCCCATGTCAATTTTTAGATCGGAATAACATTACTCTTCTATATAACTTGTGAAAGTGTCATAAATTCGCTCCAACCCTTCTCTTGTATCACGCCCTGCATTTTGCAGGGTGCATAGGCTTAAGCAATTAATCACAACAATCGAAGAAGCGCGAGTCATTTTCTCATTATGATGCAAGAGAATTCATCAATTACCAACAAAGATTTAATTCCGATCCCCACCATTGCCGAAGACAACAAGAAGCCCACCATCAATGGAGACAAGAAGAAGAAACCAGGCTCATTCAACCTCCTCAAGGCAGCATTGTTAATGCTCCGTCGTGGATCCAAAGGAAAACCAAAGCCCGTTCAAGTAGAGGTGGCTTCAAATGGGAATTGGAAGCAAATTGTTGGATCAATTCGGCCCTTACACCTCCACGACCACCTGTCTCCACCATCTTCAATCATGGAAGGCCCACCCTCGCCAATCGTTGAGCAATTTGAGGATATGATTGGTCCAGCTTCCCCCTCTCCTTCCTCCTCCTCTGGTGGCACCATGAGCCAATATGCTTCGGCAAACAATCTCCAGGAACTTGATAAGGATGAAGAGAGTGGGGATGATGACCCTGACGAGGTGTTCGATGCTATTAGAGGGGATGAGATGATTGATTCCAAAGCTGACGAGTTCATAGCTCAATTCTACCAGCAAATGAAGCTTCAAAACTGGGATTCGGGCAATCGTCACATTCACATGGGTGCATAGGGAAAGCTTCAACAGTAATCACGTATCATTGGACGTGCATGCAATATATATATATATACGTAGATAGTATGGATTCTATTTCCATCTGTTTTTCTAATTTTTTTTTTTTCTAATATTCAAATTATGCCAAAATGCATGGCCTATCATTTTAAGTTCCGGTTCAAGATGGTGAATTAATAAAAGTGAAAAGCTTGATATCATGGGAAGAACTTTAGGGGAAAAAGATAAATGAAGTAGACGGCCACAAAAAAAAATGAAATGGAGAGTAAAAGAAAAAAGGATTTGAGTATAGTGTACGTACTATCGGCAATAAAGGTCTTAATTATTGAATTAATTAATACTTACATAATAATTTTTGTATATTTGTAGGTTGGTATAATTTTTCATGAAGGATTAGCATTGACAGAAGACAAACCTGTAATCCACCATGAAAATTTCAATCGGGACAACCTACTACATATGCTTCTCTTCCTTTTCCTTTGAATTTTGTGTTTTGTTTCTGTTTTTCCTTCCGTTTGGGGACGGTTTAATAGTTTAATTGCTAATTGCTGTTGTGATGAATGAAAATGGTTATTTTGGTGAACTCCACTCCACCAGACTTATTATGCCGAATGACATACATGGTATAGAAAGGAGAATGTCTCTATTTTTTCTTTTAGTTTGCAGAATTGGCACCCCATGCAGGGCAAGTTGGCCCACTAGAAGGGAAAAGTCCAATAGTTACGCACACGCACCCAGGCAGGCAGCTTGATGACCCCCAAGAAGGACAACAAAGAAATTACACCAACCAATTCCACCCTGGACAAGGAGGATAACTCATCCCAGAGTGATCAACTTCTAGAATGTTACGTAACAGTTAGCTAGGGAATATACAAATCCTAACAAAATAGAGACAATTGAGCAATGACATTGCACAAAGAAGTTATAATTGTCTTTTTCTCAAGAAATTCCCTTAAAATAAACTAACTTAACTCTTTAACATGGTGAACTACTTATTCATCCTTATGTTTTTTTCATTTTTGTTGCTATACTCACACATNATAGAGACAATTGAGCAATGACATTGCACAAAGAAGTTATAATTGTCTTTTTCTCAAAATAATACTAATCAAATGAGCAAGAAATTCCCTTAAAATAAACTAACTTAACTCTTTAACATGGTGAACTACTTATTCATCCTTATGTTTTTTCATTTTTGTTGCTATACTCACACACCTTACCTATTTCGGAAATAGAGGAGCTTTTCAGGTCTTCCATCTCATACTTCTCAGTTTACCGCATCATAAACCCGCAATGTGTGATGATGGGTTTGGGAACGAAAGAACTTTACAATTTCTTAGATTGCACTTTTTGAAATTAAAATATCTAGTTTTTCTCATTATTATGATTCATATTTACATTTCCCATAGACAGACATTGCAAACGTTATCACAATTTAACCTTTATAATATACTAGCAATGCAGAACGTGTATTACGCATAAATAGTTTTTGTATATAAAATATTAAATATATATATATACTTACATTAAATATCATCTCAAATTTATTAAAATTATATTTTTATTACTCATATTATACTACNAAATTAAAATATCTAGTTTTTCTCATTATTATGATTCATATTTACATTTCCCATAGAAAGACATTGCAAACGTTATCAAGATTTAACTTTTATAATATACTAGCAATGCAGAACGTGTATTACGCATAAATAGTCTTTGTATATAAAATATTAAATATATATATATATACTTACATTAAATATCATCTCAAATTTATTAAAATTATATTTTTATTACTCATATTATACTATAAAATTAAAAAATATAGTATATTCCCAGCAATACGTTATTCTAAATAAAAGAAAAAAGATAAAAATAATTTATTTAAAATTTATTTGATTATGTTTCATCTTATAATTTATTGAATAAAAAAAAATAATTGTCAATATTCTAATTAATGCTTACTATAATTAGGAATTAGTTAGATCAATAGAAAAAAAATGTATAATTAATAATATTTTTAATTTCTAAAATATGCGTTTTTTATTAGTTTAATCCTCAATATATAAATTTTATCAATTTAATCCATAAAATATTTAATTCTTATTTAAATAGTTCCTAATCACATGGTCTATTAAATTTTTTGACGAAAGTGTGTCATTCATTCAGATAGTATCACGTAACTAACATGTGATCACTTTTGTTCAATACTTAATAAACTATCCGTATATAGATCATTCAAATATTAACTAAATATTTTAGAGATAAAATTAATAAAATTGATGCAATGAGGACCAAATTGACAAAATATGCAGAGTTCAGTGACTAAAAGTGTTATTAATTCTAAGAATATTAAAATTTTAAATTTCAAATTTTACTTAAAAACATATTATAATTTTTTTTATATAAACTCTTAATAAAACATGAAAAATTTATTATGATTGAAAAATTATGTTGATTTAACATAAATTATTTTATAAACACTATGTAAAAGATTATTTTTTATCTTAAAAATAAAATGGTTAAAATTTTGGTTGAAAAAAATACACAAATATAAGTATAATGTTATCTTTATATTTAAAATGAGTAATATTACATTAATGAAGTTTTTGAACAATTTATTAAAAACTATAGTTATATATATATTTTTTAAGGGTAATGTAATTAATTAAAAAGTTTAATAGACACTGATATTTATGCATAGTAAATAGAGAATTAAAAGAGAAGTTACGAATAATTTGGAGTTTTAAACATATAAATTTATGATGGTAATATAGATAATTAACTACAGAAATATAGTATGATATTTAAAATTCTTTATAAGAACAAAATACTAAATAAAAAAAATTTCATGCTAAGGCAAAAATTTTATTTTTCATTAGTAGTATAGATGGAAAAAAAATTTATATAGATAAACATAATATTATCTTTATCATTGAAAAAATTAATGACCTATGGAGTTTTTGAATATTTTATTGAAAATTATAATGATTCATATATTTTTACGAGGGGAACGTAGCCAATTAAATTTTTTTATAAATATTGATATTTATATAAAAATAATAAAAAATTAAAAAAAATGTAAGAGGACAGTTTAGAAATTTAACTACATAAAGATATAATTATAATTTAAATATTTAATTATAAAAAAATAATATGGTATTTAAATTTTTTTTTAAGAATAAAATAGTAAGTTAAAAAAAATTTCTTGCTTTTAAAAATTGTCCCTCGTTTACAAAGTGACGACAAAAAATAAAAAATAAAAATAATTACCGAACGAGTATTCTTTTCTCGTTCTTTCTAAATATCCAAATAAAAAACATATATATTACCAAACATCAAAATAAAAACAAAAAACGAAAAACATAAATATTACCGAAGGAACCATAGAAATCCAGTTTACAAATTTCCAAAACAAGCAGGTTGGTTCTGCAAATGGATTATCAAGAAAACAAAAGCTTCTCTGGAATTGCAGGGTTTTTTTTCCCCTAAAAGAAGAGGTAAATTTCTCTTACCTTGGTCTCCTTGTGAACTCTAATAGCCAGGGATGATTGCAGAGCACTTATTCTTCATCCAACGAATCCCATTCTTGATCGAAGCTTTAAACCTGCCTTCAATAGTATAAACCTTATACTTGGCTATGCGCTTCTTTCTCTTCATCTCTGGGTCATTGAATCCCCAGGGCTTCGCGACCTGACTCGATCGACTCACATAAGGAGGAATCGATGGCAGATCGGGCGAGCGAGGCCGACTCGTTGTATACATCAGATTGCCAGCAAACCCTTTTCCACTCACAATCTCTAGCCTCCGATCGCCGCCGGAGCACCGGAAACTCGGTCGGACCTCGTCCATATAAATGCCGAAGACTCTACGATACAGAACGGTGCGACGAAGAGAGAGTAGAAATTTTTATACGAAAGGATAATGGAGAGTAGGGTTTCCAGGTATACTATGTATAAAAAAAATTAAAAATACTCTGAACACCTGACCAGAACTTCAGCTGCAAATGGTGTATTATTTAAAGTATGTATTCTTGGAACACGTATATAATGTTGTGACAGCCTAGCTAGACGATCCCGAACGGTCGTGGGATGAACTAAACAGTTATCATTACCAGTTTCCCACCCCTCAATTGACTTGGAGAACATTTTGATTTAAAATACTAATCAACTTAAATTCTTATTTGAAAGATTTTAGAATTTATACTCTTTTATCTTTTAAATTAGTTAATTATGCTTCGAATCTTCTTCTGACCGAATTCATTGGATCTTTGTTTTGTTGACTTGGAGTCCTTGTAATATAGCTCAAGGGAAAGGATTAAAAGGATGTTATAAATCATGTACGTCATATGAATCTAATATTAGTAGAAGTGATTTTAAGCCTGTTAAACTACTAAAGGCTTCACCTTCTCTATAGCAGCAGAGTCTTAGATTGCGTATTGGCATGTCTAGTGGCACTAGTCCAAGAAAATGTCAAGAGGCTTGCATAGCTAAAACCTGCTATATAGTCATTCTTAACTCTCAGGACTTGAAAACTACAAGATTTTTGCACCAACTGCAATCTCTTGTCGTGTGCTCGGTGTTTGCATATGTTCGTAGACATATATAAGCATATATTTTTCTCTCCAGCTCTTTATTTGAACGATTTGATGAACTATAAATTGATGCACAAACCCACAATCTTCACTCCCATAGATAAAAATAATACCCGATCGTATGATGGAGTTCTTGTTTATAATGTCAAGGTAAATATAATGAAAATCATTTTTGTTTCCATTTATAGTGCCTCGACTTTTGACAAGTAGCATTCCCAACAAATCAAAATAGCTTTAGACGTCCGGTAGCATCCACAATCTCACCAATTTTTGTTGCAGCAGCAGCTAAAGTAGCTTCACTCTTGCAGAAAGCAAATCTGATATACCTTCTCTGGTACCTAAATGCAGCCTGAGAGGACTTTGCATCTGAATGAAAAAAACCACATCCTGGTACAGCCACAACCCCAGCTTGTTTAATTAGTTCCTCCACAAATTCGACCTGCAATGCATCACCGGCAACAATAATTGAAACAAAAGAATAAGTATCTTACATCGAAAATCCTATTTGTGTAAATACTCAGGCAAGGTTGCATTCAATTTGAGAAGGCTGGCTTAATAATTAGACACCAAGCTATATACCGTTTTAATAACTAACCTAGATATATAGATTCTGATTGGCCCATGTTATTTGGTTCTGAAAAAAATGATAATTGAAGCATCAACAGGTATATACACTGCCGAAAACGACTTCTCCAACTCATGCAGCTCACAGGATGTTAAGGCTGCAAAAAGTTGTTCCAACCTCATTTTATTGTTTGTGGACGTTACGGATGTCATATGGCTAAAAACTAGGGTTTCTCCACATTCTCTGAAAACTATAATCATGCTATGTTGGTCCATGTTGTTTTGGACTGGCAGTCTGTAAATAATCTTACAAAGACAGCCTCTGTTTTGGTCTTGATAATTCAATAGTTACATGAATTCCAACATTAACAAGACAATGATGCAAAACCTAGTGAATTACCCAATAACAAATATAAAAATAAAACTCTAAGAAGCTAGAACTATATGCCAGATTGGTCATTACTTGGTATTCTTGAAATCATAATAAACTCACAAAATGAAAAAGGCACATACATCAGTGAGGATGCAACTTTCTGGAAGCTCTGCGAATACAAAAAATGACCCCTTAGGCGCAAACTGACACCGGAAACCAATGCTTGCAAGCAACTTGACGATGTAATTTCTTTTTGATTCATAATCCTAAGAAGCATAACACTTATCAGTCAACAACTGAGAAATGAGAATAAATTCAAATGTATGCTATCATATGCTACTGTTGGTTTAAGAATATTACTCTTCTCAACAATTGAAAGTATTCAGGAGGACTTCTCAAAGCAGTCAAGGCAGCTTCCTGAAAAGGTGCAGGAGCACAATCTGTAATTCTAATGTGGATGTTTCGAATGGCTGATGCAACACAAGCCGGAGCAATCGCCCAACCTATCCTCCAACCTGACAGACAGCACAAATGACGGAATAGAAGTAAAGCTAATAAGTAAGGTAGGTATGACCAAAAACTCTGTATTACTGATAGCCATTGAACATCTGCCACATGAAGACAGCAAAAGCATAAGAAATACTGTTTCAAACAACATAATGGAAAGAAAAAGAGATGGTTAGCATTAGCACATTTGGAGTAATTGGCAGAAGTTAGGAAATCAAGGGTCACCTGTAACACTAAATGTTTTTGACAAGGAAGATGTGATGATAGTCCGATTCTGCATTTCTGGAAGTGAGGCAAGTGATACATGTTTTTCCTTGTCAAAAGTTATATGTTCATACACCTGCAGAAACATTTTTGTCATAAGAAAAAATAAACAGCAATTATTCTCTACCTCATAATCTGGTTATCTAAAGAGTTGACAACAAAAATCGCAACCTAACCAACCATATTTCAAATATTTTTAGTACTGGTTCCTCAACATTGTTACAACTGCAATCACACTTCCACCTGTTCCAATATGATTCCAACTCACTACCATAAATAAATGGCTCAATATCTTCTTGTTATCCAGTCAGTTTGTTAAAAGCACCGAAAAAATGTGATGTCTCCATAGAATTGTGGTTTGACATAAAAACTTCAATTTCATCTCTTTAATTAGTAAATAGATCTTCTCTCGCAGATATTAAAACAACCAAATAATCTAAATACAGCAAAAGACCCAAGCAGAATAGCTTCGATACCATATGCTAAATAAGTAAGGCACTCTAGGGATGCTGCTCATATACTATGAAAATAAGCATAATGGTTCTCATACTTCATCCGTTACAGCTAGGCAATCCCTGTCCCGGCAAGCTCCAGCAATAATCTCAAGCTCATCCGTGGTAAAAACTTTTCCAGTTGGGTTGTGAGGACTGTGCCAATTTGTATCAGTTAATTTCTAAATTTCCATGCAAGAAATATATTACTGTTTCAGAAAATGGAATAGTGGAAAACTAACAAATATGATTAAGCAAATCAATTTCCACACAGGCTTTAATTGGATGGTTGCATCACAGATGCAGTATAAACTGATGGAGAAGGGAAAATATCTACATGGTTTTGCATTTTCTTCATTTTCAAAACATGACATTTATCATGGTCTCCTTCCAACCTTCTAATTGATTGCTTTGATACAAATTGTGGACTAGACTATACACTGTGTCTGTGACGCTATATTTGACTTCAACACTAAGAAGCTGAGGTAGTATATAGACAGAATGTAGGACTGGCCGATTTAAGCCCTAAATAAATGTGAAACTTCTATGAACTGTCGAGCTTAAAAATATACCTTTTCCATGCGCAATACTTTGTATTTGTGCTTGAAACCCTAAACTGATGTAATATATAACATCCATCTAAACAAAAAATAATTCTTCGACACTATCTATAAAACTATCCTATATTGTGTCAGTTATTAAAAACAAACAGCAGCTAAAGGGTCATAGTATTAATTTCTCTGTAGCTAAATACCATTTTAATAGTTAGCCTGTTTAATATCTGCTCTTTAAATGAGCGATGGGTAGCAACTCAACATCTACCATACTTAGGAACTTTTTCATACAAGTTTGTGGTCAAAATTGTGGAGTTTGTAACCAAGACAAAAGTAATAACTATTTGAGAATTAAAGAGGCAGATTAGAAGTGGGACAATAAAGTATAATAAACGGGGAACCATCGAAACCTTATAGTTAAAAAAATGTTTCAGCCTCATTATACATGTAGTTATTGAGGGTCTACAGTTACCTGTTTTTGAGCTTCATAAGCAAGTGACTGGAGTTCTCGTTGAATCAAATAATATGGACGAGAACATACTTTTTACCTGTTCAAAACTAGAGCTTTTGTCCTGGCAGTGAAACACTTCATAAGTTTGTCTGGATCCAAAGTCCAGTAAGGAGGATCAAGGGCCACATACACCTATTATGTCAAATAGAAAAAAAAAATATTATTAAGAAATCATTTCTAAAACTGGTCACCCTCTGCATTCGAGTCAATTCAGAACAAACCCAAAGTATAAACAAACTCAATGGAACCTGTAGAATAGTTACAAGAAGCTTACTGGGATTCCTCCAGCCATAGTAATACAGGTTTCATATGATTCATATGAAGGATCAAATAGTATAACTTCATCGCCCTGATTAACAACTGTGAAAAGAGGAAAAAAAAAGCATGAAACAGACCTTCCATTGAACATTTAAGTACCTTGAGCTGGGAAACTACAAAAAAGAGGTATGCATACTCGCAATCATTGTTGCAGCAAATGCCTCAGACTGGCCACAGCAAATAACTACATCGGTAAGAGGGTCAACATCTAAGCCATGCAAGTGCTTCATGATACCTGCCACATGCTCACAAATTCCTTGCACATGCCTTGGATGAAAACACACAGCCTCCAATTAATAGTTGAAACCAAATAAAATAAGGAATAGAGGAGTATCAATGGCAATCATCAAAACTTGTAATGGCATGACTCTTTCTTACTGCATCCATTTGAGATATTTACTTGTATCACAACGTCTAATAATTGTCTTTGCCAACATGGTTTCCTAGTCCAAATGCAGTAAAACTGGTCATTAACAAAACAGTCACCAATTTCAGGCAGGAAACATCATTGTAGTTCGCTTTCCTATAATTTCTTGAATCAATTTTTCTTTCTGGAAGATTGTTTGATTGGTGCTGAGAAATTAAAGTTTGTGTTGACGGCTAAAAGAAAAGGAAGGGCAAAGTAGGAAAATAAGAAAAAGACCAACTCAATAAAATGTCACAGAAATATTTTGTTTGCAACTGTCCAATATTAGGTGGATATATAGGAATCTAAATCTGCCAAATTACTCATGTTATGATCTTCTACATCCTAGGCCTTCACATTTCGTCATTTGGCGTATGTTCTTCATGTAGCATTTCTACCGAATGACTATATGAAATTACATCAATCCTTCCACATATTATGGGTAAAGTAGGAGACATCTCTATTTTTCTGCGGG